ATTTATTTATAATTATTTTTTTAAAATTGTTTTAACTTAAATAATTGTGCAATTGTTTATTAATATATTATTATTTTATTTTATTTACCAAGCCAATCAAAATTAAAGTACGCTTGTCATAAATCAAATAATTGGGTAATTTTATTTATTTATTTATAATTGTTTTGAATAAGTCAATCAAAATGTATTTCCCCAATTTAAAGATTGTTAAATCCACAGTTATCAAAGTATTGATGAGAGTTTAACAAACTCTGAAAATAAATTATGCAAAAATAAACAGAACGCAAAATATATAAAATGTAAGGAATTTTAAAAGGCACTTGCATATCATATACCCTGTAATCAGCCATTGAATATTGTGTGGCCTAAAAGTATGCAGTAGAATAATTTACAAAGAAATTAACTAAACTATATCGAATTTTTCCTGCATTTAAGTGTCATGTTTTTGCAAATATTATTCCAATATTTTATTTAAATAGAGTGGAAGCTGCCATAACCGGACACCCAAAGCTGCGGTTCGTTTTGTCCGGTTGTGGGGAGATGTCCGGTAATGAGAGATGTTTCTAATATAATTATAGTTTGTTATATACATATATAATTTAGTTTGTTGTCAATATTTTATGTAAATATATTTTTGCTCATTTTGTCTATAATTTTAAATTCGTTATTTACCGAATTATATTTTTATAACTAAATTATACTTTATGTACTGTAATAGAAAGTGCAATATTAATATTGTACTCACGTTATTGGGGAAGTTTGTCTTTTGATCAAAGAATATTGAGATAAGATTAAAGAAATATGTGAAATCCAAAATCCAGTATACAATATTACGTGCTACAAAGGTATTATGTGTGTGACTATATATAGCATGCCCGTTTTATGGGACTTGGTTCTGTCTTTTATCAAAATAATGTTTAATACTTTATTATACCCCATTCATTCAATTCACGGCTGTAGGGTATAAAGAAACAAAAGTCAATGCACCCCTCCCCAAGCAAAAATAAAATCAGTGTAACGCACACATGCATTTAGTCGGTATTACGTGTGTGTGTGTGTTTGTGTGTGTGTGTGTGTGTGTGTGTGTGTGTGTGTGCCTGCATATGTTTGTTTCTTAATGCGAGAGCAACACAATACAACGGTTGATTCTCCACTGTCAACTCTTATCGCCGATATCACATGTGTGTGACGGACGACGCGTCGCGTCGCGTCGCATTATCACACGCGTTCGCCCGCTCTTTCTCTCTCACTCGCTCGCTCTCTTACGCGCACGCACTCTCTGCGTTCTTCTGTTCTCTCTGTTTTCCTTTTGCCCAACTCTCGGTCAATGCTTCTGTTTCGTGCTCCTCCTACAACATGCACAAATACATATGCAAACCGAACCGAGTCAATAGCCTCTGTTCTGGCCCCTTTCTCCCGCTCTTGCTGATTCTTTCTCTCCCATTGTTGTTCTTCTTCTTGTTGTTGTTGTTGTGTACCTATCAAATTTATTTAAATATTTTCTTTTTACTGTAAGCCTCCGCGCGTATGACCTGCCCTCCCCACCTATATATGCTGCCTTCATATACTGCGCAACTCGCAGGGAAGATTCTTTATTAAAAAGTGCTAAGTTTTAGTTGTTTTTTTAATGGAATTGATTTTTGTTTGGATCAAATCTTATGTTAACTGTTAGATATAAAACTCTCTCTCCCTCTCTCTCTCTCTCGCTTGTACTCATACTATCATCTTCCTGGTTAACTTAAACAATCAACCATCAGCCAGATCATCCAGCCCAGTTAGCATTACATTATGCATGTCAAGGATGACCTACAGGTATTCCATAACCCACTCTTAATAGAGCTGAAAGAGGTCAAGGTCTCATACAGAAGCACATCATTATGATTAACACAGCATAAGCTGAGCCCCTCTAGACTAAGCCCCGATCTTGATCTTCCACCACAAAACAAAAAGTAAAAAAAGGGAATCAAGTAGAAAAACTATCAACAAAATAATATTAGCCATCAAAATGCAGCATCCCCATAGGGAAGAAGAACAAAAAACAAATTATTTCAAATTATACGAATAAAAGAAATGTTAATTTTTGAAATGGGAAGCCAAAGTAAATAGAGAGTGCAATGAACCGCAATGTGCGTGCATATGAGACAGCAACAATAACAGCAACAACAACAGCTACAGCAGCAACAACAACAAACAACGACGTCAGGCACAGGCCCCAAGTGGGGGTCAATGCAGTCAGCAAGAGACAACGTCAAACAAAGCATACGCACACACACACACACACGCGCACACATATCGTCTACAGATACATGTTGCATGCGCATGCAAAGTATCTGATGAATAAGCAGCTCATACATTTCGCCCGCCTGTCCGCCTGACACTCTGCCTAGGAGTCAGCCACATTAAAAGAGACTAAATAACAACAACAATTGCAATGTCCGGGTCTGATATGCCTGGCAAAATGTCTGGAACAATCAAAAATATGACATGCTAGGCAACAGTTAGTTCAAATAGAATTCAAATATGCCCAAGATATTACAAAAGAAGTCTATGTCAGGTCAAGTCAAGTGCAGGCCGCATGCATATATATTTAGTTAAACCTTTTTTAATCAGGCAAGTCATAATTTTTGCATTATTTATATTAGGAATATTCAAGTCGTGCCCAACACTGGCGTATTTTCAGTTGGATGGAACAAGTGGAATTGGCACACTTTCGTTATTTAATAAAAAAGCTAAGACAAGCCAATCTGAACTATTTAAATAAATCTTAATAATATATATTTTAATAAAACGAGAAAGGCACGCCGAAGATTTAATACCCTTACTTATAATGCTTTGCTCGTATCTGAGAAGCACAGAGAAGGAAATTAGTCAATGCCGAGTATTGCTAAGATATTTTTAAAAAGAACCGATCGTTCCAATGGAAGTTATATAAATATTTAATTTTCATTCCAAGCGCTGGAACGCATGGAAGTGGAAAATTCTCATTATTTATTTAGCATTATTGTTATCGCAGCCCTAAATTTTATATTTAAATACATGTTCTTAAACATGTTATCATAGATATATTTAAAATTTGCATTTTCTCCATGGCGAATGCGAATTTCAGGGGATTTACCAATTTTTGTAGATAAGTTAGGATTAGTCTGAAATTCATTCCATCCATAACTTTTATACTTTCAATTTATTTAAGCAATTTTTATTTGCACTTAAAGAAATATTTAAAAGATTTTTTTGCATAATTTTTTAAAAGAAAAGGCACAATATTTTGTAACTTGATAGTTTTTGCCTTTTAAGCTTGTCCTTCTGTTCTCGATACAACTTAAATACTTGTAGTTATTCATTTATTAATTTTTTTATATTTTTTTCTTTTAGGTTTTTGTATTTATAAATTTTATGTTTAGATTGGGAACTGGCAACACTTTCGCTTGACCGTGCATTAGTGACGTCTATCAAATAGAAATTTGTTGTTTAAAGTTTATGTTTATTTTTGCTTAGCTACTTTCGAATTGGGCATGGCCACAAATTACCATAAAGCATATAAATAAAATGCCGCCCATAACCACAAAATCATTTCCTTCCATAAATATTTTAACAATTTTCCAAATGTTGCAAATTTTCTATTCGCAAAGTGTTTGTTATTAACATATATATTATCTTTGATATCTTTGACATCTTTTACAACAATTTTTCGCGTTCTTTTTTATTTCAATTGCGATAACCTTGTAAATGTAATGGGGGAGCTTTCAGTTTGCTGTGTCAACATTTGGCACAGTCATGACTTTGTTAAGACATTCCTCGGGCTGACCCATTAAACCGAAACGTGGCTCAGATGGCACGCTTCCCCAAATAACTGCAAAATATGCAGTTTTCTTTAAATGTTTCTTATTTTCATGCAAGCTACAAACAACAACAAGAAACACCGAAGAGCTCTGACCACACGTGACAGTTTAGAAAGAAACAAGAAACCCACAAATCATGTAAAAGAAAACAAACTTTAGCGTAAGCTAAATTGGTGGGAGAAACTGAAGTCAATAAAAAAAATTAAAAAACAAAATGCAAACATAAAAAGATAAGTATATTGCCGGGTAAAGTAACTTTGCCCGAAATTTCATTGGAAGTCTTTGTGTATTTTTAGCATCAACCACAGCCGAAACTTATAATTTCCTTACTTTCTTTTAAATTTGTAATCGAGATTTGTCGACAACCAACAAATTTGTTAAGCTCCGATTGGCCTTTGTTTTTGTGGGTGATGTGACAAAACTCACGTAGGCGCTTATAGAATAGGCTTTCCTCAAGGTCTATGACTTTTTGGGTGAGTAAACATTTATATTTATTTACAGCCGATCAATGCATGATAATATGCCAGACAATTTGTTAAGAATAAAAAAAACAATTGCAAAGATAACAATCTGACAATTTAAATCACATTAGAGTGGACTAATCGGGATTGTCCGAGTAGATACTTACCCCAAGCAGCACCTATATACTAAAACACTATTCTCCTAAAGAATTCTTGAATAACTTTGCTGTTTAGAGTTCGATCTTTATGAAATCATATAAATATTGTATAATAAGTGTGTATATAGAAAAGCCCAAGACTTTACGATATATGATATATTGGAAAATTTAATGGGCACGGGCATATACAATTCGAAAAACATCACAACAATTAAATCAATTATAAAAATAACATAACTCTAAATTAATTTGATAGATATGATGGAAATTGTAGAATATATCAAATAAAATTTAAAAGAATATAATATTTCAAATTTCAAGTCTCTGGCTTTTATAGTTTTCGCGATCAAAAGCGTTTATACAAACGGACAATCGACTATCCATAAATATCGGACAATTGAAAATTTCCCAAGCCCCATTCTCAACAGGCAATCGATAATTGCGCAGGAATTTTTCAATAAAAATGATCTGGTCACTTTTTAATCGACGTCGCTAAATAAAGTTTACTACCAGTACTATCAGTACTCATTGAACACCGTTTGCGCGATAAGCTTACTTTTTCGACCTTCTTATAGATAAGTTCCTTTTTTTCTCCGTCTGAACATACATTTGTATTTTATACAAAAGTGAGTTTAATTTACCCGAACAATACTCAAATACTTGGGTATCGGTTGAAAAGTGTGTTTGTTTCGGGAAATATTTATGGATTTTCATAAAACTAAGTAATTACGACCGTTACACCTCTTCTCACTTATCTGCAAATGTGTAAGCCATAAATCAACAATTGAACTTAATCATCGGAGTGCCGTAGAAAGACGTGAGCTTTTCTTTTCATTTTGATTGTTTAGAAGCGTTTGATCGCAATGATTTTATTTTGATTGTTAAAATAGTCGTTTTGTAGGGGCAACAATCGGAAAATCGCAACTAATCTTGACCCTAAAAATATTGGCCTAGGTCATTTACCCTTTCATGCAGCCAAAATGCATACAATTTTGTGGCAGTTCGTGAAAAACAATAAACTTTATTATTTATGTTTACTTGTAAATAAAATCGAATCAAACAAACAAATTACAAGAAAAATGCTTACACCGGCGACTTCCTATTTTTTCAGTTCGACGCCGAAGCAATACAAGTTCCTGACGTTACGTATACATCAAACGTTCACTCGGTCGAAATAAAATTTACATAATTCCGGCTCACTTTCGACTCAAAAGAAAGCTCCAGTAAAAAGCTCCGCTTTATAGGTCGTAGATAAAAGTTTATATAGTTACTATGCCTCAAAATCCTACACGATAACAGCGCATCAACGATTTTTATCAGAGAATAAGGCGTGCTACTATGCTTCTAACAATTTGACAAAAACTATCATATAAAGCCAATCAATTGGAAATTGCGTTCAATAAATCAAAAGAAGAAAGAAGAGTTTGAAGTTTGAACTAAACCCCCTACAAATTGTTCAGGGTTGTATCCCACCTGTTATCGTTTCTCTTAATTTCAATTTTAATTTGTTTTACTATCTAGCACAGCTGACGAAGGAACATGTCTAACACCGTGGATTTAACACATTTAAATATTGAGCTTTTGGAGGTAATATTATTGAACTTCAGTTAAAGTAAAATGAGATCAAATAAACATATATCTTGAAGGTTATCGGAAAAGGAAACTTCACAAAAGTGTACAAAGCAACTAATTGCCGCCAAATATTTTCCGCTAAAATATATTATGACTTTTACGGGGATTACAATTGGGTCGCAATGAGATGCAAGCATCTATTAGAAAATAAACATCCGAATATCCTGAATTCTCATGGTTCCGAAAAGATAACAGGCAAAGTAATTGCCGTATTTATGGAATTCGCAGACGGCGAATCGCTGTATAACTATATACATGGATCAGGCAAATATACTAGAAATAATGCTCTCAATTGGATGGCCCAATTGGCGAAGGTATGTCCCATTTCCCAAATATACCAGATATGATATATTATAATATAATCATATAATTCTCTAATTTTGCAGGGTCTTGCATTTCTACACGACCTGAAGCCAAGTCCGATATTTCATGGTAACCTGAAGCCGCAGAATTTGTTTTTATTTGAAAACTATAGCTGCTTAAAGATCGGTGATTTTGCCAGCGGAGGGGAAGTTATATCAAACTGTTATACACCACCAGAGGCATGCCCAAAAACACCGCGAAATTTCGATAAGATAGGACGACTCGATCAGATACACGCCTACATTTTGAAGTCGATAAAAGGGTGTTACACCGAAAAGTACGATGTCTATAGCTTTGGAATAATTCTATGGGAAGTATTTACACGCAGAAGGCCTGTTTTTAAATACAAACGTGAACCACTTTTGACCTGTATTCCAAATGTCGGCGGCTCCAGCAATATTAAATCCCTGATTGCCAGATGTTCGCATGATGATCGACATAGGCGGCCAATGATGAAAAATGTGGTGGGGGACCTTATTCGAATCAGGTATTTTTTTTTAGCAATTTTTGAAATACATCATGTCTATTATAGCTTATATATTTGCTATATATATATATTTATATAGTATATGCATTAAACTGTTTGCTCTGACTGACTGACTGACTGATTGAGCTCTTATTCCTAAGAGCTAGGATGCTTCAATTTTCACTGTAGTTACCTAATTTTGGAAAATTCCATCCGCCAGTGTGGAAAAAGCGCGAAAAACGTTTGTATACAACTTTTTTGATTACCATCGGATCGCATCGGCCTCAAAATTAATTCCATAGATCTTTGTTCAAACTCATCTGAGATGTGTTTTTCTCACTTTTCGAAAAGTGCATTCCTCCTTGGTGGAAATGGGGGTCAAAGATTTGGTAGGTGACATTTCGTGCTCAAATTTATTTCCAAAAATCTATACGAAAAATCATTTAACACGTGTTTAACACTTTTCGCAGAATACAAGCTTCCTCGGTTGAAATGCGATTAAAAGATTTTTTGGGCGAAGTTTTAAGTTCGCATATATACATATGTATGCCCGTTTGTACATACATGTATGCAAACATGCATACATTCATACATATAGATGTACATACATACAGACATACATATATACACACATAAATACACTCATGCATACATAAATACATACATACACATATATAAATACATATGTACATAAATACATATATGCATGCATACATATACACGTACACACGTACATATATACATATATATACCAACGAAAAAAAAAAACAACAACAAAATACCAACAAAAACACAAAAATAAAACAGGAAAAACTGCAGAGCTGACTTGAATTCATGAGAATCGAGGAGTAAAGCACTTGGTAGAAATTTGTTTCATTTAAATTTGCAGCACAGCGACAAATAAGTATTCATAAATGCATACATACATGCATGCATACACTAACACACACACGCCCACACACACACACACACACTCACATACATACACACACACACATACATATAATACTTATATGCCGTCGTACAAAATACTTGTATTATTATATACTTTGTATAGAATCTATACTTTATTTATTGCTCTAATATATATTTATATCTATTTGTATATGTTGACTGTCTTCTAGTTATTTTTCCTTTATGAACCATATTTTTTATAAAATAATAGATATACCTAACACAAAATTAAAATTATTTCAATCAAATCTTATTCTGTACAAATTATATCCGAGCCAAGCGATTTGCTTTAATTTTTTTTTTATCACTTTCCACCTATTTCCCGCACGTAGGAATTTAAAAGTAACGCGTTCTTCAAACGTATTTGAAAATGTCGACAAAAAGTTGCTTTCAAAGTTTTCCACCTATTTTATACAAATGAGATGGACTCCAAAAATCATTAAATCCCATATTCATAGAATATTTGTTGAGTTTGCATACGACCGAGTTCCGCACATTTTTCACACTTGTTGGTGGATTGATTTTTCTTCCATTGTTTCAACAGAGATGAAGACATAAAATGTACGCAAGAGAGTAAAGAAACAGGAGAGAAACAGACTTTCAAGGATCTCAAGGATTTCATCGATTTAAAACTGGAAGAGGTAAGGTTTGGCCATTTTAAGAATTAAACTAAACCTCTCAATTCCAGATCATTGGACAGGGAACGTTTGGCGCTGTCCACAAGGCAACATTACGTGGCACTCAAATAGCCGTCAAGCGATATTTTTTGAATAACACACAAGACAAAAAGGGCATTGAGAGGGAAGTGCGTTATCTAACCCGCGCCAATCATGAGAATATTATTAAATTGTACGGCACCATGGAAGATGAGGAGAGAAAAACTTTGGTGCTGATGGAATACGCAGAATGTGGCTCACTCCACGATTACCTGTATTGCGATGGTGAACAGAAGCCAAACTTTAAATACATGCATGCACTCGAATGGATGCATCAATTGGCCAAGGTAAAACGAGAGCAAAGTGATCTGGAAGGGGGTGTAAGCTACTTTACTTAGCCAAGCGGTAAGGCTTGATTTAACTCAGGTGCTTACTGTCCGATTTTTAAGAAATTTTCAATGCATAAATATGGCATCGAAATGTGTGCAAATACCTAGGCGTGAGATTTTTATTTTGAAGAATGAGTACTTAATAATATCTGTATCATACTATATAATACTTTAATTCTCATAGTTTTCGAGCTAAAAATATAAATATGTCCTTTCGTTTATAAGAATAATATAATAAGATCCGTTATTTTGCAGGGCGTTGCCTATTTACATGCCATGAAACCAAGGGCAGTGATTCATCGTGATCTTAAGCCAGCCAATTTGTTATTGACGAACGAATTTCGCACATTAAAGATAGCCGACTTTGGTACAGTCACCGAATTGGCTACTGTCATGACCGGCAACATCGGAACTCCCAGCTATATGGCGCCAGAGGTTTGTTTAACTCGGAATGTCAAGGAATATATTGAACAATGATTATCGTTTAGGTCGTCCACGCCAAAGTATACACGGAAAAAAGTGATGTTTTCAGCTTTGGCATTGTGCTGTGGGAGGTGTTGGCGCAGAAAAAGCCCTTCTATCATCTGGAAAATCGCGAACACTTCGCCATTTTGTTTCAAATTGGCAGTGGTAGGCAGACAAGTTTATATATACATACATATGTTACATATGTATTTCAATAAGTTTCTCGCTTTAGGCAAACATCCTATTCTGGAAGATGTAAAGAATTATCCAGATGTACAGAATTTAAGATATGTTATCAGAAGTTGCTGGAAAATGGAACCGAAAAAACGACCAACAATGGAACATTTAGCTATATGTTTAGACGATCGTTGAAAGTGAAGACAATTAGCAAGGAATTTATTTAATTATTTAATCTGAATAAATTGGTTTTTGTTGATTTTTAATAAAAGTAAAAATGCATAAGCTAAACACAATCAAATACTTTTGGTAAAAAGATTAGAAAATACAAAATGTGGAAAATATAAGTAATTTTGTAAAAATAATTTTCTCAAGCTTTTGTGGCTCACACAGACGGACTTGTCTAACCAAAGCCAATATACCCTTTATGCTAACATTCAATGGGTACAGGGTATAAAATCAACAATTTGTAACATCAACTAACTGACTGAGTCTGATGGCATTTGGTTGTTGAATAAAGGCCACTAAGGCAAACAGCTTTCTAGTTGTTGCATTTAGCGCTTAAAGGGAGCTACTACGATTAATAAAAGGGGGAGGGGCGAGATAGAGAGTAAGTGAGATAGATAGGAAGAATGTATACGAAAAAGGTTGTTGACTCTTTACAGCAGCAGCAAAACACAGACGCGAAAATAATATAATTCGCATACACGCACACACGCACCGAGAAAAGGTGAGCAAAGACAAAAAAGAAGGAAAAAAAAACACGCAAAAATTACGTGAAAGTTTGGCATTGCATACAACACACGCACGCACGCGCACACACACGCACACACACACACACACACAGACACACACAGCTAAGCAGCGCACGCAATCAAAAGCTGAATTTTTGAAATTCTTATCGCGTTTTTATTTATTTATTTCTTTTATTTTATGTTTTTGAATACATTGACCGATATTAAACAAGTCGCCTTTTTACGCAAGCTGACCAGCTGTGCGTGTGTGTGTGTGCGCGTATATGTGTGTGTGTTTGTGCATGTTAAGGGCCTGAGTTCATTGGCAGCGACTTTTGTTTAGGTTTTTTTTTTTGGGATTTTTAGGCCTTTTTTTCTATTTTTGGCATAATTTGGCTGGCATTATTAGTGTTAATTTTTTTTCCTTTCTTTTTGTTTTTTTTTTTTGGTATTATAAGAATTTCAATAATTCCAACAGTTTTATACATAGCTCGAAATGAAAGCAAAAAAATTTAAATATCAATAGTTGAGCGCTGACAAAAGAATTGGGTCACCAATTAGTTGTATATTTTTAGTATTTTTATTTGTTTTTGTCTATCAAAATTTTGTGCAATTATTTTGATGTTTTTGTCAATTGTTTTTGTTGTTTTTATTTTCTTTTTTGTTCATTCTACATTTTTGCTCAGCTGCCTTTAATTAATTTTGTTTGCGCTGCGGAACTTCCTAAACAAATTGACAAATGCGGAACATGTAGGAATATATTACTTTATACATATATATATATATATATTTATATGTATAATGTATATTATATTTTGATTATGCGATACGTTTTTTTTTTTTGCTGCTCGCTGTTGTCTTTCGTTTCAAAGCTATGACCATGCTCAATTGCGTATTTTTTTTTTTGGTTTAGCTTTTTTTTTTTGGTCTTTCTTTTTGGCGTGTGTTACTGACCCAATTCTTTTGTTGTTTGCTTTGGTCACTTTGGTCATTTCTTTTTGATTTGTTATTTATGACCGACTTAATTTGTAGCCTCGTCTATGCAAATTTGTTTGTTGGCGTCATTTTGGTGTCTTTTTTGTTTTTGGTTCTTTCCATATACCCTGAACTCGGGTTGTAAAAATGGGTAACTTGAGGATATTAAAGCGTTTGTTGAGTACGAAGTCAATATGCTTAATTAGCTTTCATTTGCCCAATGCTCTGGCCAAGGCCGTCCATTAAGTCGATCGTATGAACGATCTACATATAAGAACTCGGCTTCCATAAAAGTTAGAAACACGAAATTTAGTATGTAGTTAGTTTACTAAATTACAATTTTGCCTGCCCTAGAACAGTTTCCCTTTTTAGTAAAGCATCTTATATGATATTAAAAATAACAAAAATTAAATCTGGAACAGAAAGATGGGCTCTACTACGAATTATCCTACATTTTAGGCTAAAAATAGATACAGGAACAGAAAGATTATCCCACATTTTATGCTATCTATATAGACGTCATATCACTTACAGGATATCCCAACTGTTATACTACGAATTATCCCACATTTTAAGCTAAAAATAGATTCTGCAACAAAAAGATGTTCTCTACTAGAAATTATACCACATTTTATGATATCTATATAGACGTCATATCACTTACAGGGTATCCCAACTGTTATAATAGTCTCCTTTTCCGTTTTCAGGGTATCTTGGCAATGAGAAATGTGCAAGGCTTTTGAAGTCAGCGTCAAACTGCTTGTTGCAGGCGGGGCAACAGTTAGGCCAAGCGCGTTAACTTGGCCACAGAGTCGTATACGTAATTTATGCATGCACATAACCAGCTCACAAACATATACATATACATATTTATATCAATTCCAGTTCTGTGTGGGTGTTTCTCTGTTGTTGTTGTTGTTGGTGGTTTTCTCTATCTCTAAATTGAATTTGAAAGGTGACTTAGAAAGCAGCAGGCAATAGAACTGAGAAAAGTCAACCAACTACTTTCAGAGTTGACCAACTTTGGCTAACATTGCAAAAGATTACACTAGATTACATTATATAAGCGCTACGTAATTGAATCGATCGGAGGGTTACAGCGAGGGGCGGAGGGAGATTTCTTGCGACTTGGTGGCAAACACTTGTTGACATTAGCCGAGAGGAAGTTCATAAATATGAAGCGCTTTCTTCTCTTATTTTTTTTTTTTTTTATACATATATCTTTTTTTTTTTTTTTGCCCAGTTTCACGAACTTTCACGTCACATTGTGTGGTAATTAGTTAGCTGGGAATTATGCTTCCTAGTTTTTTTGCGCCTCGCTCTCTGTTTTTTTTTCCTAGCATTTTTTTTTTTTTTTTTTGCAATTGATTGGCAGCGGCCAAGTGTGCCATCAGTTTGGCGTCTGCGACTTGTATGTGTATAATTTAGCATATTAATTGACACAGTTGCCAGCTTTTTTTTTCCTCTCCTTGCCTCTTTTTGTTGTTGTTGTTGCTGTTCTACGCACTTTCTCCACATGAGATCTTTATGAACTATGCAAAAAATGTCACGAGAAAGCCACAAAATGCATTTAATACTTAAATATACTTCAATAGTCAGGCATTTTATTGCAGCGCCACATTTGAAAGTGTCATTGCAACTGGGTCAGCTATAAAGCCATGTATGCTATAGAGCTAGCCGAAACTGGAGAGGGGGGGGGGGGGCGAGAGGGTCGACGGGCAACCACGTTGAAGAGTCGTCAACACACATTACATCACAGAGCCGAACAGTTAAATATCCATTATGCAGAAAAAACAAAAAATAAATAAAAGTCAAGCTCGACTGAGAGATACCCTACACGGGGCAAGTTTTCAATGAGTTGAGACAAACTTCATCTAGCCTCAAACAGATGCCTTCGACTAACAGATACCCTGCACCCAGCAACAAACTTGATCTGAGCCGGCAACAGATGCGCCCACCTTCAAGCAGATACATACGACTAACAGATACTCTGCAATTTATCGATGTTTTGAAACAAACTTGATCTGGGCGGGCAATAGGAGCCACCTATGTTCAAAATTATAGTTCTCCAGGACTTTGAGTTCTCGAGATAGACGCTCTGACATATATAGACCGATATAGCTTTATGCTCGACGAACTCGATGCCTCAGCTCGCCGTCCTGTTCGAAAATATATATGTATATATACTTAATGGATTCAAAGATGTTGCCTACTGCCTGTTACATACATTCGCAGAAGTTCATTATACCCTTCTAAGCCATTTTCAATGTGTAATAAAAATAAAAATAAACCAAAACTGGGGTGCAAATTAGTTTCGCAAATATTGAAAATGCATTTGAGTGCATTTCAGCTGAGCGGAAGTAAACAGCCGGCAAAAGGCAAGAAAACAAAGCAAATTATGAGAAAAATAACACAAATTTGGACTTGGGATACAAATTTACAGCATCAGAAGTCACTTGTGTGAACAAAAAGAATCAGAGTCCTAAATGGGTTTTCCACAGCATATCCATAAAGGAAACCTGTACAGTAGAACAAACCAGAAGTGGTTCAGTTCAGCTGAACCAGTTCTATTACCATCTAAACTTCACATTCCAACAAAAACCAGTTTCATATTTAACAACTTTATGCATATTTAAAACTGTTCGCTCAAAGCTCAGCTTTTTAGTAGGAACTAGAAAGCTTAGATGATTTGAAAGATACCTCCCAAAAGAGTGGAATATAGGTGGAAAGCATTTTGCTATCTCATGCAATTGGCGTGAAATTTGTTTCTAAATTCTTTAAAAAGATTTAAGCACAATTTTTAAATGGTCTCAAAAAAGTATGCTTGAGGTCCCACTAAGAAAGCATTCGACACATATTTGAAAAAATTTGGTATGAAGATAAAAGATAAAGATAAAATGAAAAGCTTAAGATAAGTAACATCTAAATATGAGTCCAGATGAACATAAGCCCAGATGCTATGCCTAGAGAGGATTTAAATGATCTTAAAGATCACAAGCTATATGCATTTAAAGGCTGTCAGGGAAGGGCATCACAATTTGAGAGACACTTGACATATAATTGAATGCTGTGCACAGTTCGGGCCCTGGCTTATCTTGGCGGCATTATCAGTAGGTAGTGGGAGAAGTAGTCGCAATTAAAATGAAATTCATTGGCATTTTCACCCACTGTCAAGTGACAGTCGCTCAGTCAGTTGAGTTGATAACAGAGCGTGTGCTGCAACAACAACAACGAGACGTGTTAATCAGTCTGTGCAAACAGATGCGACCCACACCAAGGCAACAACAACAACAACAACAGCAATAACAATAACAAGCTGGGAAATGCTGACGAAAAGAAAACTCAGTGAAACTTGGAGGAAAAAGTCGGCGACGCGTCAGCGCCACAAAAATGTCTTTGACTGCGGAAAAATAAGGCAGCAAAGTGTCATAAACAATGCAACAGGCGAAAGGTGGGGAAAAGCCCACATAGAGACATGGGGAGAGCGAGGAAGCGAGAGAGAGGAAGCGAGACAGACAGAGAGAAGGAAGACTCATTTCTGGCTATAACGCAACTTTGTATGCGCTTCA